TCCGCTTTCACCATTGTGGACTACTCCAACTTCTAAGCAGAGGGGGTCACGGAAATTGCTTGAGAAGACTTCTTGAATTCGCATCTTCTATATTTTGGGGTTTTTTTTTTTTTTGTGATTCCTGATTAGTAGTGGCTTCTCCGTGGCTCCTTGGGATCATTGGCCGCCGCTGCTCCGTTATTGTGGGGAGGGGACCTTGGGGTTACCCCACATCTGCCTGTTTGTGGTAACGGAGGGTTCGGTTGTTTTGTCTGTACTAAGTTTTGATATATTATTGATGGGCTACTGTTATTGTTGGTGCTGGGGTGTGTCTATGCACCCTCTTCGTTTGGAAGACTCTTCCCCGAGTTATCTCTTGGTAGATCCATTCCACTACAGGGCTATAGCTCTGTTACTATTGGTACACTGTTTCATTTGTCTTTATTATATTGTTGTGTGTACCTCCATTGGTTCATTTGACATGAGGATTTTTTTATACTCCGAATTTTTTTCCCCCCTCCCCAGGGTCAGCTGGCTGTGTATATGGACTCCTCAGACCATTTTCATGCTCCCAGAGCAGTTGGTTCCAATTTTGTATAGTTCCCTGATTTTCGATTATGTCTTCCCTACGGTTCACTAGCAGAGCTATTCGTCTGCTTTCCCACAATGTTCAGGGGCTCAATTCCCCCTCCAAACGTATAAAGGCCTTTAACTCGTATCGCTCTTTTGGGCGGACATAGTTGCTTTGCAGGAGACACATTTTCCCCCTTCATTCTCCCCACGATATGTTCAGAAGGATTATCCTGTCTGTTATTTTGCTAATGCTACGGAAAAGAAAAGGGGGGTTGCCCTTTTGCTTGTCTCGCCGTTTGTCCTTTGCTGAATCTAAAATTATCCGGGCTAGGGAGGGGCGGTATCTTCTGGTGAAAGGCCACTTTCTCACTTTTCTAATCTACTACACTCTGAATACCAACCAGGTAGAATTTTTTCAGTCCTTATTAAGCTCTATGGCTAAGGAATTTGAAGGTGATGTTATTTTGGCCGGTGACTCTAATTTAGCATTAGATCAGATTTTGGATCGTTCCCAAACTGCCATGCTTCGGCCCCCTTCTAGGCAGAGACCGTAGGCTGGCCCAACTATTGTATCGTTACGACCTTGTCGATGCTTGGAGAGAAGCTAACCCGACTTCTCGAGATTACTCCCATTATTCTAGGGCCCATGATTGTTATTCTCGCATTGACCATATATTTCTTCATACACATTCACTCCCCAGACTCCTCACTGCTAAAATTCTCTCCACGCCTTGGTCTGACCACGACTCAATTTCTATTCAGTTGTCCTCCTGGACACTGGGTAAGCCGGCTTATTGCTGGCGTCTTAATGACTCCATTTTGGGTAACCCCTCCTATTGTCGGGACATCTCCTCACACTTATAAGCGTACTTTGAACTTAATAAAGCGGAGGATACGAACTCGTCGATTAACTGGGCAGCCCATAAGGCCTCAGTTAGGGGGTTTATTATTCAACTCTCCTCACGAATTAAAAAAGCCCGCAATGACCTACTAGCCACCAAAACCCAATCCTATACAGACTTGGTTGCCCAGCATAAGCGAAATCCCAGTCCGGACCTGTTGCTTAAACTTGACCAGGCCCGATTGGAACTAAATCTCTGCCTTACTACTACGGCTGACAGTTATGATGGTCTAACCATAAATGTTTTACTTGGAGAGATAGACCCGGCACCTTATTGGCATGTAAGTTGACTCCCAGACATTCTCAGACTGCTCTCCCTAAACTCAGATTGGATAATGGAACGTTCTCAAGATCCTCCACAAATTTCATTCTTTTTACACTAAACTATATAGCTCGCCTCAGGGAGATGCTTCTTCATCTCTTGATGCCTTTTTGAGCTCTGTTCCTCTTCCCTCTCTCCAGGATGCTCATAGGGAGGTGATGGAAAGGCCTATCTCGTGCGAAGAAATTGGATGTGCTATGAAATCCCTTGCCCCTCATAAAGCCCCAGGACCAGATGGTCTTTCCTCATAACGATTATAACAATTTTCCTGATGTCCTGATTCCCCATATGGCTCTCTACTTTAACTATTTATGGGATGGGGGACGGGTGCCCCCTGATGAAAACAAGGCATTTATCAGTGTCATCCCCAAGTCCTTAAGGACGCTTCTATAGTTTCTAATTATCGGCCTATCTCCTTAATCAATTGTGATTTAAAGATTCTTACTAAAATCCTGGCCTTACGCCTCCATTAATTTTTGGCTCTGTATATTCTTGATGATCAGTCAGGATTCATCAGCGGTCGACAAACATCAGATCAAATTCGCCGGACATTAGCCCTGTTGTCAGCTGTACAATCCAATTGGGACCAATCCTCACAGAGGGAAATCCTATTTTTGTCATTGGATATTCATAAAGCGTTTGACAGTCTATCTTGGGACTATTTATTTAGGATGTTGGACAAGTTTGGGTTTGGTCCTTATTTCACGACATTATTGTGGGCCCTATATTCTAATCCGTCAGCTCAAGTTTCTATTCGCGGACATAAATCTGCCTCCCTTTCGATAGAGCGAGGAACTAGACAGGGCTGTCCTCTTTCTCCTCTACTATTTGCCTTGGCTATGGAACCGCTTGCTATTGCTATCCGTTCTGATCCCGCCATCTCGGGCATCCAATGCGGTCAGCGGGACCATAAATGCGCCCTATTTTCTGATGATGTCCTTATGTATATATCTAACCCTCGAGCTTCTTTACCTGGTCTCCTCCACCTGTTTCATCCTTTCTCTGAGGCCTCTGGTTTAACGCTTAATTCCTCTAAAGCGATTGCCTTAAATATCTTGTTACCTGATTCAGAGGTCCATTACCTCCAGGACAATTTTTGACTTCCAGTGGGCCTCTGGTTTTCTCCCCTATTTGGGGGTTCACCTCACAAAATCTATTTCAACGTTGTATAAGACCAATTATCTCCCGCTCTTCAAACGACTCAAATCTGACTTACTAGAGTGGCAGGATCTCTCACTCTCTGGTTTGGTAGAATTAATTCTATTAAAATGACCTTTCTACCGAGACTGTTGTATTATTTTAGGACGTTACCGATCATGGTTCCCAAGAGGGAATTGCTATTATTACAAGCAGCAGTCTCCAGATTTATCTGGAGGGGAAAACGTCCTAGGGTTAACAGGTCAACCTTGTTTTCTTTGTTGTTCTTTCTTCTTGTTGTGGGTTTAGTAACACTTTAACGTTAGGGTCTACAGTAGCTTTCTTCGTAAATTATGTATGAATATTACCATTTGACATTTTGATATTCTGCCTTTGTTGTTGGTACGACATACCTGGCCACTGTAGCTTGTCCACAAGACGAATGGCCTTTGACTACATTTTCATAGTAACATATATTGGTGAAATTGCATCTATTTACAAAATGCTTTTGGAGCCAACATTTTGTCAGAAAGCTGACAGATTATTTTTTTTTTCTGCCTTTCTCTCAGATGCTATCAAAAAAAGACCATGTAAGGCAAGGTTTCCCAGGCATGACTGATCTCTGAAAGTCAAATTAATGTGTTTTGTTCACATAGTTCCATGCGACCAAGCTGTGTTATTTCTGTGTAGAGGCCCTTGTGCCTGCTCCATGTAACCTGACAGTGAGGCATACATTGGTTTGTTCATTGATTTAATAAAATTGTAAAAGAATAACTTTAATGTCTTTAAAAAGCATGATGCAGTAACTTGAATACATACCTGACAGCTAAACATAGTGGAGGCACAAAAAATGTGGCCAACTGAAATACCACAAGGGTGGATAAATGAGTGGAACTGTATCCCATATCCTATTTTAGTTTGTAAGGCTACTTTTACACTGAGGAGTTTTTGAAGCGTTTTTGTGTTAAAAAATGCGCCTGAAAAGCTCAAGAAAAACTCTTCCCCATGTATGTGAATGTATATCTATGTATGATTTCACGCAGTGCGGTGTAAAAACTTGCAGCATCTTTGGGGCATGTTTGTGGAGTTAAAAAAAAAAAAAAAAACGCCCCAAAAACTCCTCTAACCATTGAAATCGATGGAAAACTGAAAATCGCTTGAAAAGCGCCTCAAAAGGCCACTGAGAAGTGTTTTTGGTGCAGTTTTTAAGTCCCGTGTCCTTTATAAATGCTCAGAAAGCGTGGTAAAAACGCCTATGCGTTTTTGCTATGTTTTTGTGGCGGATCAGTGTGAAAGTAGCTTTAGTGTTGTTGGGCAATGAGAGATAAAACCATGCATTACTTTACCCCAAACCTAAAACAAAAAGCTGTGACTGGCCTTACGCTTTTCAGAAGAACTTCTAGTTGTTGATTTTTCCCATGTTAATCCTTTTTTTGTACTAAAATGCCTTCGCTCCGTACTTGTAGCATATGCAAATGGACTTCAAGGATAAGTTCATCTTTAAAAAAAATAAATGCACATTGTGAATTTAATATATTTTTTTTTTTAGGAGCCTGGAAAGCAATGCACCCATGATCAGCAGATTGCTGGTTCCTTGTCAGGCTCCTGCAGATTCTCAGTGTAGCTGATATGGGCGGGCAGTTCACTCCAGGAAGCTCAAAGGACTGCGAGAGCACTCACCAGCACCCTTGCGGTTCATTGAGAATTACAAACTGTCAGCTACAAAGGCCCAAAAAGCACAGCAGAACAGGGGTACACATGCAGGTATGGCTCTGCAGCTTAACCACTTACTTACCTGCCCAGGCCAATTTTCAGCTTTCAGCGCTGTCGCACTTTGAATGATAATTGCGCAAATCCAACACTGTACTCTTGACATTTTTATCATTTTTTTGAGATATTTTAGAGCTTTCGTTTGGCGGTATTTAATCAACTCTGGGTTTTTTATTTTTTGCTAAACAAACCAAAAACAACTGAAAATTAAAAAAAAAAATTTCTTAGTTTCTGTTATAAAATTTTGTAAATATGTAATTTTTCTCCTTCATTGATATGCGCTAATGAGGCTGCAGTGATGGGCACTTATAGGCTGCACTGATGAGAGGGCACTGGTAGGTGGCACTGATGGGCATTGACAGGCATCACTGATGGGCACTGAAAGGCAGCACTCATATATGGCACTGATAGGTGGCACTGATTGGCGGCACTGATGGGCAGCACTGACTGGCACTGATAGTTGGCACTGCAAGGCAGCTCTGATGGGCACTGATATGTGGCATTGATGTGCACTGGTAGGCACTGATATTTGGCATGGATGTGGCATTGATGGGCACTGGCAGGTGGCATTGATGGACACTGACAGGTGGCACTGATGGGGCTACACTGATGTCCCCTCTGAGGAATGCTGATTACCAGCTCTCCTCTCCTCACGAGCTGTCAGCGTGACAGCTCTGAGGAGAGGACTGTCGATAACTGGCATTTCCTTATTTATATACGATCAGATGCGATTGGACACATCTGATCACATGACAGAGCCGACGTCATGGGCTCTTTCTGCTGATCGGTGATCCGCTGTGTCCCAGGGACACAGCACACCACCGATCGCCTGCTGTGTGCCCCCAGGGGCGCACACGTGTGGTTAGAGTGGGACAAAGTCATATGACGTCCTCCCAGAACGAGAGAACCGCCACCCGCTTGTCATATCCTGATACAGTGGGCGGGAGGCAGTTAAAGGAGAAGTTCACTTTTTTCTTCAAAACTCCAGCTCTCCTATGTACCAATATGCCATTATTGTACCTCTGTTGCAGAAAAATAAAAGTTTTCTGTGATTTTGAGAACATGGCCTTACATTTGCCCTTGCTGAATTTCTTAGCTTCTGGTATGTAGATTAAGGGCCAGTTCACACTACATGCGTCTCAGTGTGCTTTTTTTCTGCAACCGAAACGCACAGAAAATAGGTTATATGGTTGTCAATGTAACATCAGTGCTTGCAGTTCTAGTGTGTTCCAAACGCAGAAAAAAAAAAAAAGTACAACAGGCTGCATTTTTCCTGCACAGAACTGTACTGGAACGCGGTAAAACGCATCACAAATGCTCTGGAACACACCAAAAATGCACTGGAACGGGTAAAAAATGCATCAAACGCATCGTAATGTGCCAAAAACATGTCAAAAATGTGCATGCAGAAATGCATCTGGAATGCATATAGTGTGAAACAGCCCTATGGACAGAAAAACCAGTAAGACACAGGAAGGATTTTATCAGCTGATCTCATTAGCACACACCTTGGCTGGCTTCCAACAGATCGCTACCACGACTTCCTCAGGTGCACAGTTTTCCAATGCAATGAATCAGTGATCACCGTTCGCACTAAATTAACAGACATCAGTGTTTTTTTTCTATCTCAACCACTTGCCATCCAGAGGATTTACCCCCCCCAATGACCAGGCATCTTTTTGCTATTTGGCGCTGCACTATTTTAACTGATAATTGCTTGGTCATGCAACGCTTTACCCAAACCAAATTTACGTCCTTATTTCACACAAATAGAGCTTTCTTTCGGTGGTATTTGATCACCTGTGCACTTTTTATTATTCACACTATAAACAAAATAAGACCGAAAAGTTTGAAGAAAAACTTTATTTTTTACTTTTGGCTATAAAAAGTATATAGTAAAGTTAGTCATACATTTAGAGCAAAATATATTCTGCTACATGTTTTTGGTAAAAAAAATCCCAATGGGTGTATATTGATTGCTTTGTATGAAAGTTATAGCATCTACAAACTATTTTTTTGCTATACAGCGCTGCACTAGTTTAACTGACAATTGCACGGTCATGCAATACGGTACTGTAACGGAACCGGTACCCGACCGCACTTGGGTATATTCCGTTATACCGCAGCTTCCCCTGTCCGAACACCATCCACGGACCACACCCTTGAAATCCCTCAGGAAATAGACAGCACCCAGCTCTTCTTAAAACAGGAAGCCAACTCACTTTATTTTACACAAAAAACACAGGATATACACAGAGGGCGGGGAAACATAACCAGGGACAGGAAACACATCATCAGCCCACCCCATCAGTGGGAAGGGCTACAGTATAGACAGGAAACACCTCATCACCCCTCCCCATCCAACCAAGACACAGAACAATGGGATAGCACATGACAAGCAAACAATGGACAGCCATGTGGCCCAGAACAAAGGAATGGCCACATGGCAGTAGACAATGGGCAACCACATGGCAGGGACAAAGGAACACACACTATACACAATATTGGGACATTCACATTTACACCCTGTACCCCTTAACAGGCACAGGGTGGGTTAAACATAATGAGGGGAACATGAGCTGACCAAGCGGTCCCCCCACCCCCAAAAGTCACTCCCGTCACATATCTCCCCTTTCGGCAGGAGAGTAACGCAGGAGTAGATCCCAGACGGATGTACTCTGAAGTTACTCTGTACCTCCAGTCTCTCAATGCCAGCACCCGCACAGTACCCCATGCAAATTGTCCCACACCAAGCGTTACTCACCCAGCCAACCGCTGCCTCTCCAGTAGAACATACCCGCCGCTGGGGAGAAGTACGGACTGGTCCTTCTCCCTGAAGTCCTCTCAGCCGCTGGGGAGAAGACAGGGTGGCTGGGCCGGCTCCATTATGCTGTGTGGGATCTGGGCCGACTGCCCAGCATCCCTGAGGTGTATCCAGATGGTGGCTGTAGTTGCTAGGCAGAGGCCAGCGGCACTCTGTCCTGTTGCCAGCTCTTCTGCTGGGGACCCCACATCTGCTCCGGCTAACCGTGGGGGAGGGAGGCTGCCTTCCTCCACTCCCAGACTGTGGATCTGCTGCTGGGATGGCATTCCTCTGTCACTGTCCCCCTGGTGCACAGATCCTGGCTTGGAAGGGAAAAGAGTTTCCTCCACTTTGGCTGACTGTGGGGGGGAGGGAGGACAACAACCTCCTCCCCTTCTCACCCTGGGCCTCTGAAACTACCACAGGTGTGGGGCAGAGGTCCTGGATCCCCTGTCCGGTTGTCAGCGCTTCAGCTGGCGGCTCCCCGGCTGGTTCCTCATCAGTAAAAAAGTCAGTACAATCCCCAGTCTCTGGAATGGCTAAATGTCCAGGGCACGGGCTGGTGGCCCTTGGGTCCAGTGCCAGCACTTTGGCAGGTGACTCATCACCCACAACATCCTCCATTGAAAAATCAATTAGATCCATGCATTCTGGGATCTGTAATTGGAGGCATGAGCCGACTTCTCCATCTTCCATACCCTCATCCAGTTGTTGGACAAACGCGTCCCTCCATCCAAGCTCATCCCATGTAGAAACAGGATCGTCTAGGTAAGCCAGCACTTGCTGCATCCACCATATGACCTCTGTTTCCATAGCTGCAGGTGGTGTCTCTCCTCTCCTGCTATCTGAACCTTGGATCCTGGTGGTGGTTTGGATGTCCCAGACTGCAGGTGATTCATCACCCATAACATCCTCCAGCGAAAAATCCATTAGATCCATACATCCTGGGATCTGTAATTGGAGGGATGCGCCGACTGCTCCATCTTCCACACCCTCATCCAGCTGTGGGACAGATGTATTTCTCCATCCAAGCTCTTCCCATGTAGAAACTGGGTCATCTAAATAAGCCAGCACTTGCTGCATCTGCCACAAGACCTCTGTTTCCATAGCTGCGGGTGGTATCTGTCTCTCCTCTCCTGCTCTTTGATCCCGGTGGTGGTTTGGATGTGTTTACAGGTTGGAAGCACAATCCCACTGCTTGCCACCAATGTAACGGAACCGGTACCCGACCGCACTTGGGTATATTCCGTTATACCGCAGCTTCCCCTGTTCAAACACCATCCACGGACCACACCCTTGAAATCCCTCAGGAAATAGACAGCACCCAGCTCTTAAAACAGGAAGCCAACTCACTTTATTTTACACAAAAAACACAGGATATACACAGAGGGCGGGGAAACATAACCAGGGACAGGAAACACATCATCAGCCCACCCCATCAGTGGGAAGGGCTACAGTATAGACAGGAAACACCTCATCACCCCTCTCCATCCAACCAAGACACAGAACAATGGGATAGCACATGGCAAGCAAACAATGGACAGCCATGTGGCCCAGAACAAAGGAATGGCCACATGGCAGTAGACAATGGGCAACCACATGGCAGGGACAAAGGAACACACACTATAAACACAATATTGGGACATTCACATTTACACCCTGTACCCCTTAACAGGCACAGGGTGGGTTAAACATAATGAGGGAAACATGAGCTGACCAAGCGGTCCCCCCCACCCCCAAAAGTCACTCCCGTCACAGGTACATAAATGAAATTTATGTCCTTTTTTTCACACAAATAGAGCTTTCTTTCGGTGGTATTTGATCACCTGTGCGCTTTTTATTTTTGGCGCTATAAACAAAAAAATGTTGGGAAAAATAAAAAAAAAAAGATATTTTTTCTCATGTCTGTCATAAAAAATATTCAAAAAACTAAAATTTCCTCATAGATTTAGGCCAAAATGTATTCTGCTACATGTTTTTGGCTAAAAAATCCCAATAAGTGTATATTGATTGCTTTGTGTGAAAAGTTAAACCATCTACAAACTATGGTATAGATAATGTAATTTATACAACTTTTACTTTCTGACTGCCCATCACATTATTTGAGGTGCTAAAATACCAGAATAGTACAAACACCCCCAAATGAGCCCTTTTCAGAAAGTAGACACCCTAAACTATCTGCTGAGAGGCATACTGAGTCCATGGAAAATTTTATTTCTGGAAAATGGCAAAAACGTTTTTTTTTTTTTTTTTTTTTTTTTTTTTTTTTACACAAAGTTGTCATTTAAATGATTTATTCTCGCACAAGCCATGGGTATATGTGGAATTACACCCCAAAATACATTCTGCTACTTCTACCAAGTATGGGGATACCACGTGCGTGAGACTTTTTGGGAGCCTAGCCACATACATGAGCCTGAAATCCAATGGCCACTTTGAAAGCCTGAAGGTGCGTAACTTCCTCATTTCACTTCCTCAATACCTATCACAGTTTCGGAGGCCCTGAAATGCCAGCATAGCACCAAATCTCCCCAAATGACTCCTTTTTGAAAAGTAGATACCCCAAGGAATTTAAGGCTCCGTGCACACTGGGTGTTTTGATAAAGCTGGTAACGTTAGCTGTGTTTTATTAAGTTTTTTTTCAGATTTTTTTTGTGTTTTTGCATTAGCGTTCAGTGGCGTTTTGCTGCGATTAGTGGCATTTTCGTGTGTGTTTCAGCGTTTGCATTTTTGGTTAAAAAAAAAAAAAAAAAAAAAAAGTCCAAAAGTGTGTTTTTCCAGCCAAAAAAAGTCCCAAACGAAAAACACTGATTACAGTCTGTGTGCATGGACACATAGGATAACATGCTGGGAGTTTACTGGCTGTAGAAAAAAAGCCAAAAACAGCAGCTGTAAAAACGTCAAGTGTGCGTGAGGACTAAAAAGAGGCATGGTGAGTATTTTCTCGCAGGTTTTGAAATCTAAAATGTTTTTTCTTCATTTTCCAA